AGCCCTCATTTAAAAACTGGCATGTCCGTGATATAACACGGCATAACGCGTTTCATTGAGTTCATTTCTTGATATGCTATCCTTCGAATGGGTGGCCCCAAATACATTTTCACCTATGATATCTTTGCAACAAAACTTAACCAACCGCCAGTAATTTTGAATTCTCAACTATTGATACTTTCGTAGGAGAGAGGTCCATTGATAACGACATCTGACAATGGTTTTTCATCGCTTGAAACATTTGTAAGTACCGCCCAAGGCCTTTGTTATCTAACAGTAAGTTTTTGATGGGTATTTATTTTAAGAAAGCGAGCGGAAGAACGACACTTCTAGTCAAGGGCGTAAGCAACCACTTCCACTTAATACCGTTTACATTGCCCTGTTAGCCATGTGCAAAAGTTCATGTACACGAAACTATTACTTGTTTCAAAGAAGTGGTGGAAAGTCAGCCAGATTACTACAACTTAGCCAAAGACGGAGGGAAGCGGGAGTTAGCCATGCAAAACGACTGGTCTTCTATGAATTCCGAAAGGGCCACATTGCAGTCGGAACCACCTATACCCTCACTGTGGGTTTGGTCCCGATTTTTTCTCTCTTCGAATTTTGATTTAATAGCTCAATCGTTCTGCTAATACTGTTAAGTTTAGAAGACAAAGCTCAGCAAAGCAAGTGTGCCTGCTGCAGACGAAATAAACTCATACTGAAATTTAGCCAAGAGTTGAATCAAAAATCAGCTACAGCATTTACGGGGTCACCGAAACTGGCGGAGTTTTCCTCAAGCGGGGACTGCTAGAATGACTGAAAAGGTGATAGTCAGAAGAGACGATTTGAATGGAGCAGGGAGAGCGGATGGCAACCCAGATAGGTTCCTCTAAGTGGACTGCACGGTTTTTGCGACATGGCGTGAGTTTTTGCTTAAAGGGTCATGCAGCAGATGTACAGAAACTTTCTCGGTTGCTTCGCTTCGATTACATAAATGAAATCATGGAGCTATTGCCTCAGATAGTGGCCGTAACTTTCTGGCTTTTGGGCAGCAATTCGTTGTATAGCATCTCCTCTGATTTCTGAAAGTGAAAGCAGCACAACAAAACCTTTTCAGGATAATGTTCTGACGTTTGCAGCACTCATGTATCTTCTCCTTCAACTAGACGAGCAGCGACCCTTTTGTTGTCGTTACAAAGTATGCAGCTCGTACCTACTTACACCAAACCCTGTTGAAGCAATTTACGATTGAAGGTGAGGGAAAGCTACTGGTTGATTCGGACACGCTGTGACAGGTCGTCATTGATTGAAGACGAATTCCACAGAGCCGTAACTCTGTTATTCTGTTTGCGAAAGTGCCCATTGCTCTGATCACGGGTCCGGGAACTTCTCCCTGAAGACGGCGTCGCACACGCCGCACCCGCCGCGTATCGCAGGATTGCGTTGGCTGATTGGAGGTAGGGAGCCCTTTAATTATTTGAATTGGCTGGCCGCTCTCTTCAATCTCAATGCAGTTCTGATCGTCGCTTACATAGGACGAGTCATTCTAATCAATCAAGTCTAATAAACATAAAAATGAAAAAGAAATAGAAAAAATNAGAAGGGCAATTAACGAAAAATTCCGCTCCTATCGATTGGCGGGGAGGTGGGGGAGTACGGTAGTTGCAGTGACATTTGCCGCATGCCGCAAGGGAGAATGCCGCAATCGGGGAGAAGTTCCGTTACCCCTCTGATCGCACTCTAGAAGCTTCCCGATTCCCTGCTTGTAGCTTCTGCATCGCCGAGAAGGCGGTCATCAGCTGTAATTGTGTTCGTGTCGTATCTCCAGAATGAAAACGAACGAACAAGCGACTAACAATGGTAAGGCTGGCCAGGTTCTTTACGATAGCAGTTATAGAGGTCAGCGGAACGGGCTTTGCTTGAATTGTTTTCTCGAGGATAGTTTACAAGATGAGCACTTCGGAGCCTAATCAAATATTAGGGGTGGTGTTCCGAAAATGCTCTAGAATATGATGATCGTTCGAGAAGGGCAAAGGTTCTCATAGAAAAACTACGATACATAAATTTTTTACCTTCATAGTAGTTCGTTGACAGAGCTCAAATTATCTTTCTCAGCGCTTGCATGAACCGCTTCACTCGAAGTACCGGCGGTACGTGACCGTAACTGCTATCGGTCTCGAACAGTGGATTGTTGTTTTCAACAAATAAACAAGGTGAGGTATTTCCCATTTCGCTGCATAATGACATACGCTTCACTTCATTCTCAACTTCTATTCATTCTTCTTGTAAGTAAATGCTTCCGTTTTTAAGCTAGGGAGCACACTATGAAGACACTAATGCTTATAAATACCTTGAATACCTTGATGTCCACTCTTCAATGGTGATTTCGCCAACCTTGCAGGACGCATCTATGCCATTACTCATAGATACTGATGGCCTAGACTTGCCCTAGCCATGAATAGCGGTAGACCCACTGCCGGAGGTGGACTTGTCCAGGAGGGACACGTCGGTGTTCCGGCAACAACGAATGGTCTTATCATCGAGTGAGTCTACACCATCCCACCGCTTTAAGGTAACGGGGCTCGGGATGGAGTGCTCATAAACACAACGATGAATAGGTGTTCTTGGTAGGTAGGAACTCGGAGAGTCGTCCTAGTTTTCTACGCTCTCTGCGTGAGCATGTACCATCAACATCAGCGGTTTGATTAACGCAGAGGTTAACGTTCACCTTTTCTGGAATCGGCTTTGAAACTGAATATACATCATTGCTACTCCGAACATGTTTGAATGATACCAATGCTGCTATCATCATCTATCATCACCTGACTACAAGTCCTGCTTTCAAGCTTCAGCTTACGTTAAAACTTTTGATGTGATGTTGCGGAAATGTACTTTTTTGCGGTAGGGCCAAAGTGACGAGTAAAGTGCTAAATCAGAAAAGTTAAGCCATTTGAAATGTCTCAGCTTGTTATGGTATCACCAGTTGGGCTGTGCATATTTATGCATGCATTCTATGTCCACGACCGCTCATTGGCCTATAACTTCTGCAGGCACTTTTTCAGCTGATATCGAGTTTCCGTGCAAACAGACAGACAGACAGACGCGAGCGCTTTATATATAGTAAGGATAAGGAATACTCCTTCACGAATCGCTAATGCTCCCTAGGATCTGGATATCATAACTGTGACTCACAACATGTTGTGTTGAATATATGCGCTTACCTTCAGTCTTCAATCATGACAGCGGTCTAGTAGTAGATAATTGTCGTATTCCTGGATGGTTGAGAGGAGCGGTAAGATATATTGAAGGAAATGTACCTCACGACAAAGTCACAAGTTATATATTGCTCAGGTCTCCTGGTCAAACCAGGCAGACCAGTTCTATATAAGATCAAATTTTCTAATGACATGTGCCTCAAAAGTAAGAGTGGAGTAATGACGAAAATGATCAGCTAGTGTTTAATGAGAGACAAAAAATATGAGTGCAAGTTAAGCTATGTGACCAGAGTTCTTTGGCTGAGAGCTCAAAGCCGGTTTGCCCAAAGGCGATCTGACGGACTGGCCTCGCAGAACTAAGAAAGGGCGAAAGGAGCAGTTCATGTGCTGCGTCTAGGAACGGTTATTACCTTTCCCTTCTTTATCTATGTGAGCCTTCCTTTTCACCTGTAGTCCAATCGAAACAGCCGGCATAAGCTCGCCCGACTTTCTATTACAAAGTAGGAATGCTCATGTTTACAAAAGCTACATCTGTTATCTGGCAATGATCATCCATTAGAATCTAATGGAACACCAATTTGCCCACAACTGAGCAGGATAGTTACCTTAATCCCGTGACCCAAATATCTACGTTCCTATGCCTCCCACATCATCTACCAAAATTCCAGTGTCCCATTGCTAACACGAAGGACGTCATTATGATTCTTGCCTTCTAAGACTCCTGTCAGTTTCAATCAATCCTTGTCACTCCCTAACACTTACCTTCAGAGATCACACCCGTCCACCCTATCCCCTAGATCCAGGGGTACAGGAGTTATGAGTTTCAGGTCACCTAAACACAGGGAACTATGTATATATGCAGGGTGCAGCAAAAGTTCTGGCAAAGGTCCCCCCTTTCAGGCTCTCCATAGAAAATGAGGCATTCGACCTCGACAGGATAAGTGCTACTATTTACTGCAAGTCTTCTTCTATACATTCCATGAATTGGCCATTCTTAAATATGCCATTAACAGGATGGTGACAAGCAAAGACCAACGAGCCTTCATCCTGCACCTCCATCTGGCTGGGTGCACGGCAAAGACCATCTCCATGCAGCTCCAGATTCCCTTTAGACCGTGTACAACAACGTCACCAGGTACGAGGCGACAGGAATTATGGAGGACAAGCTTTAAAACGGAAGACCGAAGAGTGCAACGACAAAGGAGATCGTCAAAATCACTCGAGAGAAAATCCGCCGCCACCCTCTTAGGTCCGAGAAAAAATTGGCTCAAGAGGTGGGTTTTCTTACTCGATCCGCTGGAAGGATTGTCACCAGCCACCTTCGACTTCTCTCCTGTAAGATCGGAAAAGCTCACGTGCTAACTGAGCGTATGAAGAAAGCTAGGCTAATGATGTAAGGAGGGCTTAAAGCGATTTTCGCAGGCACGGCACAGCTACATCTTTTTCACTGACGAATGTCTGTTGTCAATAGATCAATTTCTGAACACCCAAGACGATGGGATGATAGCGGAAAGCCCTACAGAAGGCAGCCAACATGGAGGGATTGCTCAGCGATCTGGACACCCCAAGTCGTTGATGGTTTTTGGAGCAATCACATCGGACGGCAAGATGTCCCTGATTTTTTTTGGAGAAAGGGGTCAAGATGGATAGCTCGACCTACTTAAAAGTCGTGTTGGAGAGGGAGGTACTCATCTGGGCGGAATCCCATTTCTACAACCGGTCATGGAATTATCAACAGTACTTAGCTCCAGCACACAGGCCCGAGGTAGTACAGGTGCGCCACGCATTTCCCTGACTACATCTCGTCGAACGATTGGCCCCCATACAGTCCAGGCCTGTACCCATTGGACTAATCCGTGTGGTCAGTTTTTAGGAAGAGCCTGCTCTACTCAGCACAGAAGTTTGGATGATTCAGGTGCATCCTCGGTAAAGCATGGGAGAATCTGGACGAAGACTACCTTCGTGCTGCAGTCGACGCGTTTCCTAAGAGACTCTCAGCCTGTATTCGCCCGAGAGGAGGCTATTTCAAGAACTAATTTTTTTGTGATCTATATAGCTGTTGATGAATGCTGTTGAAGTTGTATCATGTATTGATCAATGTGACTGTTTTTACGGGCATATTTACTGTTGCCAGAACTTTTGTCGCACCCTGTACACCTACTCTGCAAACTGTAAGTAGTAGTATATCCATCACCGCTGAGATCGGAAGATTTTGGTCCAATAGGTTGAGACCAAATAGTAGAGTGCCAGCAATAGTGCTACTGTTCAAATAGCAATGAACCGGGTTGATAGAGGCTCGACGTCAATAAGAACAACNTCTACAACACAAGGAGTAGCACTGAAGCCTGATCTTGTGGACCATAACACATTCCCACCGATTCATAACTAGGTTTTTTCAGGTGTCGTATTTCAACTTGTGTTTCTTCATCTTAATAGCTGGATTGAAAGATTTCGATTTTGGTGGAGCCGAAAAAACACTCAGACAATTGGAAGAGGATTTAGAAGCGGTCAAGGTGAGTAATAGTATCGTAAGTTTCCAATGAGACTTCTTCAAAGACAACTTCTCAGACTTGCTAAAATCTGCCTCCTCATGATGTAATCACCGCTAGGGGCAACTCTGGACAACGGATGAACGGATCGTACCATACAATTTTAGTAATTATAAGGGGGTGAGGGAACCCAAAGCCATTGAACCCTTTATACAGACCTTTATAATACTGACGGAGGTGATGTGGTGGCAAGTGGGTTCGAACCCAGTACCGATACTCGCCAAGGCCAACCAAGCCTTCCATCCCTCTGGGGTCGGTTAATTGGTACCAGATTCGTCTGGGAGGATAAAAGCACTGACTTGCATATCGGCTGGCCTTTCGCAAGTCATTGTCAAGTCCACATACGCACTCATTACGCCACTACGATTCTGAATGGAAGTGCGGGGTAGCATCCTTCAGACGGGACTGTTTGACGCCAAAAACTTTCACTAAACTTATTACTCCTTCTATAATACTTATGAGAACCGATAATAAGTGGGGCAAGGATCGTCTTCTATATGTAGAGGGTGACCCAAAATCAAGGGCGCCAAATCCCAGTAACTTCTGAGGCAGAAATAATTAATTATTTCACCTCACCGTTGTTAACTAGTTGCGCAAGTAATCATCCTTGCACTCTGCATAGTTGCTGGGGTAAGGCTCCCTATATCTTCGAAGCGATTATTGCTCATTTAAGGCCATTTGCATAGATATGCGGAAAAGTAACTAAAGCTGACCATACAGAAGGCAATCAAACGATGCAGAGACGCAGAATCTGCCAATGACAAAGCCTGAAGGAGCGAAAAAGCGGATCGGACTCAAAAATTGGGGTGTGGGTACATTCACCCAGAACTGGATCGACGCGGCAAACAGCGCGGCGAAATTCGTGATGTCTAATACGGCTTTGGCGCCTGTCATTTGGGCACGGGTTTCAAGTAGATTGTATAAGTAGGGCCAGCTTATGCTACTTATCTATCCAACTTCAAATTTGTGCCCCAATGATATATGCAAGGGTCGCTTCAATCACCACGAATGTCGCCGCGCATTTTGCCGCGCCCATCCAGTTCTGGGTGAGTGCTCTGTCCCTCCTAACATTGCCCGGTTGCGAGTTGATCGTGGTCCTAGATGACGCATCAAAACGCCAGTTACGGAGGAGGACTTATACCGTTGTCGCTGGACGGATTGTCGAACAGAGGTTTCATTGCTATAAACCGTACAGAAAGCCTCTTCATTTCCGATCTCAACAGACAGTGTAGGGCCAAAATTTGCTTGGCTAACTTTGAGTGGAAACCCTTCATTGTCTTCTATGACGAGAAAATTTTCACGGAAAAGGCAATCACCAACGAATAAAATCGCGTTCCGGAGAGTAACTCTAATAGTGCAATCTCACCAAAAAGTTGTCATAAGAACAGTAAAATGATGCGCACCGAAGGAGGGAGGGTACGAACGTGCGTCCGAGGGTGCGCGCGGCAGATTGCGCGGCGAAGTTCGCGACG